TCCCCAGCGGGGGGGGGGGGGGGAGGATGGTCCCCTGGGCACCTCAGAGCCCCGGTGGCCTGCTCTCTGGACATCACTGTCCCTTATTCCAAGGACAGTTGCTCACTGCTCACAGAGGAGGGCACAGCATGGATGACTGACAGCCTCTCCCTCATGTTCTCCACAGCTAAACCAGCTGTCGCTGAAGGGAAAGCCACACCAGCCCAGGCAGCTGACCGAAGCCGGGGGAGCCACAAGCACTGGAGGGTCCACCACGACCTCATGTGACAGCACATCACAGTCTTGCAAGACATGAAGCATGCTCACTGCTCACAGAGGAGGGCACAGCATGGATGACTGACAGCCTCTCCCTCATGTTCTCCACAGCTAAACCAGCTGTCGCTGAAGGGAAAGCCACACCAGCCCAGGCAGCTGACCGAAGCCGGGGGAGCCACAAGCACTGGAGGGTCCACCACGACCTCATGTGACAGCACATCACAGTCTTGCAAGACATGAAGCAAACACTTGCCCAAAAGTGATAGAAATGTAGCCGTGTTAGTCTGCGATGATGCCAAGTGGCACTATCGCTGCTGGTGCGGCAGGGCGAAAACATGTGTGCCATCATCCAGGAGGTGATGGCATACCCAGGTCTTGTCCCTGCTCCCGCTCCCCGCATTCCCACTTCCTGCATCCCTGCTCCCCCTGCCATCCCTGAGCCTGCCCAGCCACCTGTTGTCCCAGGCTCCACCCAACCCCGAGTCTCCAGATCCGAGGCGGCACTTGCAGGTGCTCCACGCACCACTCCCAGCCCTGAGCCCCCCTCCAGGTTCTCAGCCCCCCCTTTTTTTCCCCTCTCCAGGTTTTCAACCCCACTCCACCTCAGTTACTTTGATTATAAAGAACAAATAACAAAGTTTATTTTGAAAGCAAAACTGGTGTGTTTATTAATTGTACAGGGATTGGGGGCAGGGAGGGGTTATGGTGAGTAAGGCATTGCAGCGCAAGGCACAAACCCCTATTGGGGAGGCCATGGGGAGAGTTACTGGGCTCCTTCAGAGAACCTCTCTCAGGTCCTCCCGGATGCGCACACTGGCCTGATGGGCCTGGCTGATGGCAGCTGTCTGTGGCTATTCAAAGACCTTTCCCTCACAACCAGCCTCTGTCCCCCACCCCAGGAGGAAGGCCTCCCCTTTATTCTCCACTAGGTTGTGGAGCACGCAACACGCAGAGACCTCCTCGGGGATGTTGCGCTGTCCCACGTCAAGGCGTGTCAGCAGGCACCTGAACTAGGCCTTGAGGCACCTCAAGGTGCATTCCACATGCACGCGAGCCCAGTTCAGGTGCACGTTAAATTGTTCCCTGCTTGGGTCCAGGTGGCCAGTGTAGGGTTTCATGAGTCACAGCATCAGTGGTAGGCCATGTTGTCCACAATGCAAATCGACATCTGCATGTCCCCAACCACAGAGTCCCACTGGGGGAAGAATGTGCCAGCCTGTGGTAGAGGCTTGAGTTCCTAAATAAGCAGGCATCATGTACCCGGCCTGATCTGACCACACTACAAAAATGTCTGGAAACTCCCCAGTGGTTGACCAGGGCCTGCAGCACCATGTAGAAGTAGTCCTTTCTCTTTATGTATTGGGCTGCTTGGTGCTGTGGTGCATGTATCGGGATGTTGGTCCCATCGATCACTCCTGCACAGTTTGGGAATTCAAGGGCACCAAATCCGGCCATGTTTCTGAAGTGGATGATTCTGCGCAGCAGGATGGAGTTGATGGCCTTCACCCCCTGCAGAAGGAGACATAGAAACACACAAAACAGAGAACGAGAGGGAGTGCCTTAGCCCTTGGGAGGTGCCCATTCCCTTCCCATTCCCCCCAAAGACCCCAGGAGCCACCCCCTATGAGGCTGCCCCCCCAGCAGCAGGGTTGCATGAGGGCAGGGTGGCACAGTGCACCCCCTCCCCCGGGGATGGGCCTTGCCCCCTTCCCCACTTCACCCCCCACTTTCCCCTCCCCTTTCCCGAGGGTCTCCCTTTTCCAGCCCCCTCCCTGCAGGGAGTGTACCCCAAGAGTGCCTTACATCCATAAAGACGACCCCAAAAGTGGACTTCCCCATGCCGAACTGGTGTCCTACCAAGCAATAGCTGTTGGAGAGCTTCCATGTGGCAATTGCAACCCTCTTCTCGAGGGAGATGGTGGGCCGTAGGTGGGTGTCCTGTCATTGGAGAGCAGGGACGAGCCAGGCACACAGCTCCAAGAACGTGGTCTTCTGTATGTGGAAGTTTAGGAGCCACTGCTAGTCGTCCTACTGCTCCATCATGAAGTGGTTTCACCATTCAAAACTGGTGTCCAGGCTCCAAAATTGCCTCTTGACCATGAGGTACGGGGCAAGGGCATTGCTCCCACATCAAGGCAGAGGTTCTCAATGCTGAGCTTGGATTTGAGCTGAGGCAGGACCATCATGATGGTCTGCTGAAAGTGCTGCAGAAGCTACAGCATGACAGTGTGGGGCCGTCTCATGCCCAAGGGCAGCTCTGGCTCCATGGCAAAAAGAGAAAAAAATACTGTGGCATCCAACAAAGCTGGCAACCAAAGCATGCACTACAAAAGCTTTTCTGTCCCTCAGAGAGGTAGGCAAGCATGCAGCAGAACCTGAGAAATGGCTGTCCAGCGGGTCTCTTTAATCACGCGTCTCAGACAGCCTTAGGCAACAGCACCTGGAAGTAACTGCTGACCCTAATGCCCTGGCTGAAGTGGTTCCGGGTGGCCTTTTATGTGAGAGTGTGTCCAATGAGTATGGATGCTCGCTTCCAAAAAAGCAGATGGCTTCTTTGATCTGCTTTTGAGGTGTGGATGCTCTCTTTCAAAAGAAGCTTGCAGTCTAGCCTACCCATCATGTTGTATGAAAAAAAAGTTTGATTCAGTGGGCATTTGAGAATCATAACTTTTCAGGTTTAAAAAAAAGCCGTTATATTTTTATATTTAGTATTTGGACTTTTGAATGTGACAGGTGGAAGGCAATGTGTTTTGGGGATATTTTAAAATACCATTGAGATGTTAATGTTAAAAGTCAAATGTCTGTGTTCAGTGAACTTTATTAACCACTCATGTAATCTCATTAAAAAATGAATTAGTTTGATGGGATCTGTTTTCCATAAATCTATGTTCATTTGCATTTATTGCATTAGTTCCTTTTAATTCTTTATCAATTAAATCCCATATAAGCTCTATATTATCATGCCTGGGACTGATGTCAAACTGACAGATCTAAAGTTTATGCTTTTTCAAAATTAGCACATTAGCTGTCTTCTGTTCTTCTGGAATTTCCCCTCCCAGATGATTTAGTTCATAATTGTTTATTGTTGTATGAAACTAGCTTGATTAAAAATACCAAGTACATACATTAAGGCTATGTCTACACTGTCATGATTTTCCGCAAATACTTTTAACGGAAAAGTTTTTCCGTTAAAAGTATTTGTGCAGGAGAGTATCTACACTGGTATGTGCTTTTGCACAAAAGCATCCGTGCCAGTGTAGACGCTCTCTTGCACAAGAAAGCTCCAATGGTCATTTTAGCCATTGGGATTTCTTGCGTAAGAAATTGATGTTACCTGTCTACACTGGCCTCTTAGAATCATATAATCTTAGAACCATAGAACTGGAAGAGACCTCAGAAGATCATCAAGTCCAGCCCCCTGCTCTAGGCAGGACCAATCCCAACTAAATCAACCTGGCCAGGGCTTTGTCAAGCCGAGACTGAAACACCTCTAGGGATGGAGACTCCACTGCTTCCCTAGGTAACCCATTCCAGTACTTCACTACCCTCCTAGGGTATGTCTACACTACCCTCCTAATTCGAACTAGGAGGGTAATGTAGGCATACCGCACTTGCAAATGAAGCCCGGGATTTGAATTGCCCGGGCTTCATTTGCATGAAGCCGGCCGGCGCCATTTTTAAATGCCGGCAGTTCGAACCCCGTGCCGCGCGGCTTCACGCAGCATGGAGTAGCTAGTTCGGATTAGGCTTCCTAATCTGAACTAGCTGTACTCCTCGTGGAATGAGGAGTACGGCTAGTTCAGATTAGGAAG